AGCCCGAGGTGTTTCCTCCCGACGGGGCCGGGCGGGGAAGCGGCACCGCCGCGCCCCGTTCCTCCCCTTACCTGCCCGACCGGAGCGCTTCTGGCCCCCGGCTCCCTCCGCCTTGGCGCTCGCCCGCCGCATGGCCGCTGGGTACCTGCCCCGGCCCCGCGCCCGGCTCCCGGCGGCCACTTGTCGCCCCGCGACTCGGCGCAGGTACGGACAGGGCACGGCCCCGCGGCGAAACTCCTCCGAAAGCCCCTCACCGGGAGGGGGAGGGACGAGGGGGGAGGGAAAAAAAAAAAAAAGAAAGAAAAGAAAAAGGGAGATTTCACACGCTGCCTCTCCAAATCCTGGCGGACACAAAGCCGCTGTTTATTCCTCGCTCACCGACTCGGAGAGGGAAAGCAGAGAAGAAAAATAAAAAAAACAACCGGAGGGAGAGCGACCGGATCCCCGCGCTCCCGGAGCTTCAAGCTGGCGGCCCGGGGCAGCTCCCGGCGCGGGGCGATCTGCCCGGCCCGGCCCGGCAGCAACTTTTCCGCCTGCGGGAAGCGCTCGGAGCCGGAGCGCGGGGGTCGGGGCGGGGGGGAGCGAAGCGGGTGCCCGGGGGAAGCTTTCCGCCGGCGGGGCGGTGTGGGTGGCCGGGCCGGGGCATCCGCCGCGCGGGTGCGGGCTCGGGGGCCCCGCCGCAGCCCCGCTTTGTGCCGCCGCTCCGCGGGGCGCGGGTTCGTCCCCTGCGGGCTCGGGAGGGCAGCCCGCCCCACGGGGGGAGGGCGGAGGGAAAGCGGCGGGGAACGGAAAGAGTTCGGGGGTTCGTTAAGAACCACGCGAAAGAGAACGCCGAGTTGGGAAAAAAAAGAAAAAAAAAAAAAAGAATAAAATCAAAGCCGACAACTCGGGAGCAAAAAGGGAAAAGAACCCCCCCCGGCCGTAACTCCCGGAGAGCGGCGGTCCCGCTCCGTAAGGTAAGCGGCTCTGTTTTGTGCGTTTGTGTGAAAATGCGTGCGAGGGAGAGCAGAGGCACTCACCATTTCGCTGGGATAACGAGGCCAGATCGGGGTCGGATTGGAAATGCTGAGGCTTCGCCTGCTTCCTCCGCGACATGCTGGCTCAAACATCAGCTGGGGCAGAATAAAAAATTACTAAAAAAAAATCTTCTCAAAATTACGGAAATCGAGCCTCCCCCCCCCAGCCTCCCCGGTCCTCCGCGCACCGCGCATGTGTCCTGCTATAATTATGATTATCAATAATGCATTGCGATTAATCATAGAGGGGCTCTTTGAAAGGCGATTGGCACATGGCCAGCTCTATTCAAACCAGCTCGCCTTAATCAATTAAGCGCTGATTTGCTGGAGACCCTTGTCTCTCCGCCGCTCCCACCCAATGAGTCGATCCATGCGGCGGGAGAAGGGGCTGGATTTCCCCAAAGCTGTTTGGATACAGTTTAACCCTCTTAGCAACCAGCTGGGGCCGCGCCGCGCCATCCCGGTTACTATAGGAATGCGGCTCCCCGCGCCTCTCCCCGCAGCCCCGACGGGCGCCCCGCGCTCCCGCCCGCCCTCCGCTTCTTTTTTTTTGGGGGGGGGAGGGAGGAGGGTCCCAGAACCCCCCCAGCCCGGACCGGCAGGGACAGGGGAGGGGGCGGCAGCGCCCGGGGGAGCCCCGCAGCCGCTGTGCGCAGTGCCGCTGCCCTGTACCGCTGTCGTTAAAAGTTTCGGGTGCTTGTTTTTTTGTTTTTTTTTTTTCTCCCCCCCTTCACTTGGCATTCCCCCCCACCCCCCTTCTGCTTTTCCCCGCATTTGCGAATAAAGCTCCGTTCTCGTCTCCTCCCCCCCACCCCCGCTTCCCTTTCCATATATCACGGGCCCGAGGGGTGCTGAAAATAGGAAGGGTTTGGCTTTTACCTCACACATTCCCAGGACAATTAGGGACCGCTGGGAGCAGCGGGCGGACCGGCCGGCCGCCCCGCCCCCGGCCCCGCTCCGCGCCGGTTGGTCGCGCCCGAAGTCACTCCGCCGCCGGCGCCCGGGGAAGGTCGGGGCGGGCGGCGGGGCCCGCGGCGCCGGGCGGGGGGCGGGCGGCTCGGTGGCTCCGCTCCCCCCCGGCCTTTCCCCGCCACTCCCGGAGCGGGGCGAAGGGGCGGCGCCGCGGGCGCCTCTGCTCCCCCTCCCGGCGGCAGCCTCCCGACTTTTGTTTCCTTGTGGGACGCGGGAGCGATGCGCGGCTGCCTGCCCGCGCCGGGCCGCGCGGAGCCTCCGCGGACGCGCGGCGGAGCCGCCAAACCGAGCCGGATCACGCGGCGGTTCCGCGGTCGTGCGCTGCCGGGAGGAGCCGAGCCCGTCCCGCCGCCGGAGGGCCCCCGGGCCTCTGCCCGCGGCCGTGCGGCTCCGGGACCGGGCGCGGCGGTGCGCCCGGCGTGAGATGCGTAACGCGCCAAAGTTTGGCTCGCGGGTGTTACTGCCCGAGGAGGAACCTCTTACAAACAAGCGTCACGGGCTCGAAAAAAAAAAAGTACACTTGCAAAGAGGCCGCGGCCGACGCCGTGTTCCGCGTCTCTCCGTCCCCCAGCGCCCCGGCCGCTCCCGCGCCGCCCTGCCCCGCTGCTTCCTCCGCGCCCCGAAGGAACGGGCCCTGGGGGGCGCGGCGCCCGGCAGCTCCGTCCCGCACCGCCCCGTCCCGCACCGCGCCGCCGGCGCTCCCCCTCCCACCCCTGTCGAATTATTTACTCTGCCGTGGAAACGACTCCTTTTCCCGTATTAATATTAACAAACTCTGTAAAAGCGCGAGGCTGAGCAGCCACAACTCATTTCAATTTCAAATGAGCCGGCAAACCTGGAGAGCGAGCGGGAGGAAAAGGGAGAAAGCGGCGATGTTCCCATTCGAGGAAGCGGCTCGCTCGCGTTTCCTTCTCATTATTAAACGAAAGACACCGCAAAACGTTTACCTCGAAGGGGGAAAAAGCCCACCAGCCGCAAAAGCAAACAAACAAACCCAAACGAACGGACGAAGCCCCCCCGGTGCCGCCCGGTACCGCCTCGGCGCTGTGGAGCGGCCGCGGCCGCCGCTGCCCGTTTGCGTGCGGGGTGAGCCCCCTCCGCCCGCAGCGCTCAGAACGGCGGAGTTTGAGAAAAAGACAAACGAAGCCATCAGCGGGGGTGATGGTGAATGATGAAGATAATAACCCTGCTATAGGTGGTATCGCACGTGACATTATTTTTCGCTGAATATTTCAAGAGGTGTTTGGGCAGAGATGGATACGCCCGGCGCACGCTGCCCCCTCCTCACCCTCAGCCGGGGCACAACCCCGATCCGGCCGTCCGCAGCCGCCCCGCACGGCGCACTGTCCGCATCCGTAACGCCCATGCGGCTCTCCCTGCGCGGCCGTGGCCGCAGCCCGGGCCGTTCCCGTCTCTCGCCACCTCCCGCGGGTCCCCATCGGCCGCTCTCCCCGAATGATTCCCCCTTACAATAGCATTACGCATTTGTCGATTAAACTTAAGACAAATTCCCCCAGTACCTTCGTTTCGTGGCAGGGAAAAGCCGGCCGGGCTGGTAATTAAAAGGCAACTACAAGGAGAAAAACACAGGTTTAAAGTAAATGAATAAGAAATTAACCCGGAGAAATTAAGTTTCGTAACTTTTTTTTTTTTTCGTTTCTCTGCTCCCTCGCTAACGCATAAAGCGGCACTTGGCATTTAGAGTAGGGCCACTCGATTATTTATTGTTTGTTTTCCTCTCCTTCGCTGGGGGCCGGGAGGGGTGGGGAGAGGCGGGGGGCAGAGAGCACTGCCGGGGCCGGGGAGAGATCGGTGCTTATTGTTGGTGATAGCGATACATCAGTTACGTGTCATTGTCTCCCGCAGAAGTTGTGAGAGTTCACACGCGCAATGCCCGCTCCCTCTCGCAGCCCCGTGACAGTGACGGAGCTTTTCCCTCCCCGCCACACCTTGGGGATTTTTCTTTCTTTTTTATTCTTTTCTTTCTTTCTTTTTTTTTTTTTTTTTTTTACCTCGGATTATTCTCTTTAATGGAGGTGAGAGGTTTGCTAATGCGCTTCGATGCAAATCAGCCCGGCTGGAAGGCACCCGCGGAGGGGATCGATCTCCAGTTCATTGAGATGAGCACTGAAGGGAGATGGCAAACAGGGGATAATTTGCAGTTCATTCTGCCGAGAGACGCTTTCAATGAGATGCAACGCACCAGCCCGGCTTATTGTTATTAAGGTTTGCGCTCAGCCCCGACACTCTCCGCACTCAGGGGTTAAAAGCTCCGCAGTCCGCACCCAGCGGTGACACGCGGTTACCCCGAGCCGGGCGCAGTGCCACCGCTCTCCCTTTGCCGCACACCTCCGCCCGCAGCCCGGGGCACACAGCAGCCCGGCCCCGCTCCGTGCTGCGATACCTGCTCCTCCGCAGCACCACTTGTCCCTTTCTTCCCTTCTTTGCTTTTTTTCTCCTCCTCTCCGTTCTTTCTGCTCTCTTTTTAAACTAAAAGAAAAAAAAAAAAATACACTGCGTAAGAACTTCAAATTTCGCTTCAGTTGACCCCTAAAGCAAGCCGCTTTTCAGTTACACCAGGTTACATCTATTTCAGCAGCGTGTGTAATTAGGGGCTCCCAGATGCTGCCCTCAGCCGGGAACTCCGTGCTCAGACGCACCACGAAGTTTGAGGCCGTCCCGGGGCGCTGCCCGGGCAGCACTGCGGTACCGCGGCTCGGCGCTGCCCGGCGAGGGAACGGCGGCTCGGCCCCTGCCCACCTCTCACCTTGGTGTTATTGTTATTTGCTAATGATAACTCCTCGGGGAAAAAGAAATAGGGGAAGAGGGGGAGATCCAGCACGGAATCCTTCTCCATTATTAGTGACAACTAATAATTGATCATTGCTCACAAACACGAGCTTTTAGCCGCATAATGGAATCGTAAGCGGTACGGGTTGAACTAAAGGGGAAAAAGGAAAGAAAAAGGAAAAAAAAAAAAAAAAAAAAAAAAAGGAGGGAAAGAGCCTCCCCCTCTCTCTGCCCCAAATCTCACAGAATCGCAGCCGTGGGGAACTCCCCCGCCCCCGAGATAAAAGCGGACGTGACTAAAGCCATAGGCGGCCAAGGTGGGATTGTTTAATTCCGTTCTCTCTTTGCACGTTTGCTGCCTTTGTCTGACCCGATGGCCGGCGCATTTTTACACCTCGCTGTCCCTTCCGAGTTTATTGATGAAGGTGCTTCTGAAATGATTATCGAGAGATTTACGGCCATCACTACCCACCTACGGGAAAAGTAGTAAAATCAATCCCTCAATCAATCGGAGCCCTCTGTGCATATCTTTTTAATCTGCTCTTTGAGCTGTTTTATTACAACAGAAGCATTAAATATGTTTGTTTCAAATTTAACACGAATGCCTCCGAAGGACTCCGTCAATTTAGGCATAAATCACGAGACAAACGAGCTGGGTGGAAAGTCCTTATACTCGGGCAGGGTGGCTGCAAACCGAAGGCAATACCTGGATGGCCGCATTCCTCTGCCAGCAGCACCCCGCTCCGGCTGTAGGCGACTGCTGTATTTGTCCAGCCCAGCCCGCGGGGCAGAAAAGACCTACAGAAAGATGAGTACAGCACGCTGCTAAAGACTTCCATGCCTTTTCATGTGGCTGCACAGAGAACCTAAAGAGTGCTAGTAATTAGAAATACTCTCGCATCCTGAAGCCTGCCACTGTTTTCTTTTTGATAGCAGAATGTCTTAGTCCCCATGTTAGAAATAGGCTTGGTTTGTTATAACTACGTAGCATACACTTGACAAAACTCCTTGGTTTCAATACTGTTATCGATCCCAAGGCATCAAGCTAACCTTTGTGTACCTTTTCTCAGACTAATGAAAAAATCAGTGGGGATTCCAGGTAGGCTGCTTTGGCCCGAAATTTTCCCTTCTGATTTGTTACACAGCGACCATCAAAGGGCAGACAGAACAAATCTGTTAGTTCTATAAAGGATGAAAAATGAAGAATTTGATTTGATCCCACAGAGGAATTCTTTTTCTTCAAGCCACATTCCTTTACATGCCAGTTTAATTTTTTTTTTCTATCCCAGTGTGCCACAGCCACATAAATGCAGAACGTACCCTCCTGGAAATCCAGAAGTTTAGAAATGAGGTATGCGGATTTCTTCAGCCTTAGATAAAAATGTTTAAAAATCATTTTGGGCTGCAAAGATTTCTTCCAAAGGCACAATGTGGTGACTCTCAATGCAGAAACATTTCTGGGTAGAACAGTGGGGAGAAAAAAAAAAAAAAAAGACACAGAAGACACAGAAATATATCCATGTCAAAAGAAAAGTCATGAGAAATCCATCTGATATCAGACAATGAGATACAGCGAGCTATCAGACTGGATTTCCTGCTAACATCTTGCTTTACAAAAAGTGCATTTATGCAGCAGGAAAACTTCACAGTCACAGTTGCTCTGCACCTGGGTATATTCAAAGCAGTCCTAGTGTGAAACTTCAAATCATCACGGCCATAATTTCTTCAATTGGAGCACTATCTGAAACAGTATAGACTATGGAGGTGGGAGCCATTTAAAAGCAAATGAACGAATAGGAGTGAGGGAAGTATCTTCCAGGATATTTAAGGAAAAAAGTCCTCTCTTCAAAAAAGTTCCCTCAGGATTTACTTACCTTTGAAACAAAAATCATGCAAAAAGTTCTGCAGTTTGTCACAGTACAAATGCAAGGCCAACATTTCAGATAGCAATCGTCTAGTAGTGTACAGATGATTTTCTACAAGGTAATCATCTGATAAAGGAAGACCTGTTGTTGTTGTCACAAACAGATTTCTGCTGTCAAATTAGATTTACCGAGTGTGCATTTTTATTTACATTTTAAAGTTTCATTTTAATTTGGGGAATCTGTGGTGATTACAGGATAAATATGTCTCAGACCTCAGGGGAACTGTTTCCCGCACAGTCCCAAATTTCTCGACAGATGAAACAAGCCTGACAACTCCATTCATTTTCATGGCGTTATATTTGATTCAAATACAGTGGAAGTATTTGTAAGTACATGGATTTTGTTTGCATAATATCGAGGTGCTCTGATTAATGCATAGTGTTTACAACGTGAAAATTGTCATACTCCCTGCATCAATGCAAGGAGCTGGCTTGGCAGCCGCCGGCTGCAATAAAGTAAATGCTTGTGAATAACGTGCTGCTTTCCATGCCTGAACTAAGCAGCGTCCTCACAATCCGCCTTTTGCATCCACTTTGGGCAGTCTGTTAATAGAACTGCTCTGCTATGGCAATGTGTAAAACCTCTCTGAGTGTAAATATGTTCACCCAGGCCTGCACGCATTATCTAGAGCTTATGGGGAGCCCATTTCCTCAGGGAGCAATCTGATCTCCCAGCCACATTGTTGCAGTTTTCTTTTCTTGCCATTAGTGATCATTTAATGTTCAGGTGGCAACAACAGCCATTGCCTACCTCAAAAAGTAAACCCAGGACTTTCTCATTAGTGAAATTAAATCTGCAGCTGGAAGAGGGGGGGAAGAGCCAAGAACTGAGCTGCTGGGCAGCTTGTACTGAGCCATCACAGAGAGCCACAATAAGCACTGCTCCATAAAGCCAAGATCATAGAGTTACATCTAGAGGATGGAACTCTCTCCAAAAGCTCAAGTCACTAGAAACAGAACAGCAGTCCTCAAGAAGAGGTGTCAAAAGGTCCCTTCTTCACAAATCCAGAAACCAGACTTGGGTTCAGAAAATTATTTCTGTCCTTCACGTACCTTAGATGGTAAACTTGGGCTGTTGGCATGGCTGTACAAACTGTTTCTTGAATCTCACTCTGAGTTACGTATTCTGTGTTACAGTCATTCACTGAGCTTCCAGTACCATCTCAGAAGGGTTTTCACATTTATTTGCATGCAGTAATGCAGCCTTCTGAAGTCTAGCTGGCTACGCAGTCATGAAGCTAATCTGAGCTTGCTCCTGTCTGCTGGCACACAGAAGTTCTGTCCAAATAAGAATTTAAAGCTTCAGTCAGTTTTAGATCATCTTAAAAGCAATTGGTACAAAAGCATATATGCAAAGACATCTAGTTTGTACTGGTTCAGCAATTCAACCAACATTATGTCACACACATACTGCAACAGAGCAAAAAGGGGAGAGTCATGCCTGAATATGAGAAGATACAGTACATCAAATACCAGTGCTTATTCTACATCCATATGTAAAGCTGCAGGAGGGATCATTTACTCATTTCTGAGTCCATGAAAAGCCACTTGTCCTCAGAAGTTTCCAAGGCAAGCACCCAATCCTAAACACGTGACAGGTATGATCCAGCCTAGTGCAGGAAGCAGAGCACTGACAGGGCAGCACAGGCAGTGTTTCAGTCTAGAACTCGATGATCACGAAGGTCTGTTCCAACCTAGATGATTCCATGAGCACATTTCTGGCAGGGGCTGTCTGGGATGATCAGTGAAGTCATTTCCCACCACCATCTGCCACTGCCCCACACCAGGATGATGCTGTCCCCAAGCTGTCACCAGGCAATCAGTGGGTGAGCACTCCCAGTCTGCACCGCTCTAGAGCTAGCAAAAATGTTTGCATGACATACTCCGCCAGCAAGGGATGGAAATCTGCATGGGGCAACAGTGCGTGGTATGGTAAGTTCTTAAGCTGTTCCAGCTGTTTGCAAATAAAATATGCGACTAAGCCCCCAGTCTATACAAACTGATTTCTGAGAGAAGCTGTATTTGTGTGAGTGTGCCAGATCAGGCCCATTACTAACTTCAGATGAGTGTAAACAACTCTCCATAGAAAAAAAGGTCTGGAGAAGTCACCAGTGACAATTGCTAGCATGTAAATAATATACCTCTAAATAGGATGTCTCTTGTTAACATGTTCAGTTGACAGTTGCATTGCATACCTCTGCTCTCTCATATATTTTGGGGCTAGAAGTCACTTGCCCTATCTCTGAAGTTTACTTGCCCTGTCTGTTTTTGCAGTTGAATTAGCTTCCATTTTTATGCTGTATGAGAGCACAAACAAAGCTATCATATTTAAGAATAACAGTTTCAAAGGAAACAGAGCCAAATGCATTATAAACGTACTGAATTAAATGGAATTAAACAAAGGATAAATATGGCTCATTCCCTCCTTCTCCTTCAGCACTGTCCTCTATGACAGTGTACATGTAATCTCGCAGTACAATAACATTTCTGCACTCACTCTGTTCAGGCTATGCCATTCACTCTTTGTTTCACTCCTAGAAATTTCTAATAGCAAATTTCAATTTCACCCAGTGCTGCTCCCTGAGGGCTGCCAGACCCGCTGCTCCTTTGCCCCATTTGTAATGGATCACTCCAAGGTAGGACAGGACCTGACTGTGTTCAGCGATGGGAGTCACACTGAGCAGAACCAATTAGGTAAGCTCAGTGCAAAGGTAGAAAAGGAGATGGACGTGATCCTAATGGGTGAGAGATAGGCAAATTGACATGCAGGGCCAGCACTGCCACCACCAGCCACGCAGAGCAGCAGCTGCCTAGGGCTGCAAAATGTTTTGTAACACTTGCCTGCGCTCATGATGGTGCCTTGTGAGGGGCCTACATTTGATGTTTTGCCTGGAGCAACAAAATCCTGTGGCTGGTGCTGGTTGCTGCATTCAGGAAAGCCTGCAGGAATTTGCTTGCTGGTACTCATATGACTGGGAAAGAACTCCCTGTAAAACAGCTCTGGCAATTTAGAAGTAGTTCTTAAACCACCTGTTTAATTGTGTTGTTCACAGGTAATCTTGGGTTTTCAACAGGGTTACTAAAAGAAAACACAAATACTAAATAACCAGAGACAAAAGCTGTTCTGGGTAATTTGCATCCATCTTTTGTGATGGCACACAGTTATTTTTGCAATAGTTGTAAACAGGAACACACTAAAGAAAGTTCTCATGGGATTGACTCTCCTTTCAGGACTGAACCGGAGAATTTGCTTCGTGTTTCTCAGTCTGCTTTCTTACTGCCATTCTCATAAAATCAATCAAAGTGATAACTGGAATGTCTAGAAACAGCCAGAATTTAATCTGGACGAATTATACACAAGAATATCTGGCAGTGTATCTGCTTAAAGGAGCTATGTATCACTACAGAGAATGCACTGTTCTATGCTTGAAGCATCGACACATATTGCCAGGATTATACTAATTTCAGTGCTTGGAAGCATGCATGCCATAAAATCAAAAATAAACACAATTTGAAAATAATTTAAATAGCTTCACTCTATGACTAACTGTATCTAGTGTCTTACACGGTTTTCAGTAAATACTAGTCAGAAAACCTCACCTAAGCCCAGCTTTTGTTGGTCCCCAGGCTTTGGGAACATCCAGGTGACAGCCCAAGCTCTGTAGCTCAGGCACATGACCGCATTGATCTGGCTATCGGTCAAGTATTTCTACACTTATATTTCACTTTCTGACTGGTGTATGAACCCTTTCTATGCGGGATATGTACTCTTTTCTAGAGTAGGAGAGAAAGTTCCCTTTCTTGAAGGATTTTTTTTATTCCCAAATGGAAAGAGCATGGAAAGGAGTTGAGACATTGGCTCACCAAGCAGGAAAGGACACAGGAGAGATACTGCTTTCCATAGCCCACACAGAACTCCTTCCACACTTGAGACGGACCTCTGAGTGCCAACCCAGCCTCCGTGTAGGCAGGTAAGTCCTTGGTGATGGAGCTGCAGGGTGAAGGACTGGGGCCAAACTGCTTGGAGGTACCTCAGCGCTCTTGAGATCCTGTTTGCCCATGGCTCCTGCCATTTTGGGATATTCCAGAGGTGTCTTCTGTGAAGAATAGAAAGGAAATTTTGTGAAGTTCCTTTCAATGCATTTTTTTTTCAAGCCACGTGGATGTTACTAGACAGGGATTTAGTCTATCCCAATATAAACAGCTGCACTTTTCAATACGTAACACAGAGTAAATGTCTCAACTGCAATGTATTTCTTGGTTCCTTGAAAATGACAAGGGAAAAGTTTTACAGTGGACTTTATTATCTGTATATTTAGTGATTTATTATATCTTTCCAAATCAAATCAATGTAATTTGGATTCTGTTGTGGAAAGACAGAAGGTACCTGACTGATACATGCTGATGAACTAACTGCCTTAGAATCTCTGGTTCTTTCCTTTCTCTTTTACTCACAAAATGGCAAAAAAAATTGGATTCTTTTTTTCCTGTACAAAATTGCAGTACTGCAGGCTAAAACTTTTCCTCTTAATGTAAAAACTTTCCTTCTCAATCTAAATTCATTTTAAATTGTTATGCTTTACAAACTTCCAAATGGGATTCTAATTGTTGACAGACATTTTACATTACATGTGTCTATCACTTTGATTTAATATGCATTTTCAATGAAATTTTAAAAAGGCCTCTAAGGTGGCAATTTAACAGCAAGACATGCTGTGAATTTTAGATATAAAAAATATCTTGTCTGCAAAGCTTTTTTTGTACGTATGAAAATGGCCTTCAAGGAAAAAAAAGAAAAAAAAAAAAAAAGAAGTTTGTATGGCTGAATTATCAGAAGCTAAATATCTCTGAGAATATTACCTACTGCTTTAGTCAATCACAGCCATCAAACGTAAACCAGCTTTTACATTTACGCAGCATTTCAGTAGCACACTTCAAAAACTATTAACCATGAAAGAAATAAAATTTATCTAGAAATCCTACGTCTGGTTTATTACATCTCATGACCTGATTTAATTTTCTTCTACAGAAAATGGGCATTGAAATGTCTCCAAGTAATAGGTACTTCTAGTCAAATTTGATAAGACACATTTGAAAGGAATTCCAAATGTATTCTGAAAGACGAGAGCAAAGCTAGCTTTCCTGTGTCCCTAAGAGTGGAAACCAGACCTGGGACAGCATAGAAACTAGAGGGGACCTGTTCTGTATCAAGTCTATTTTTGAAAATCATCAGAATTGTAGTTCATGTATAGGCTACGTATAGACTATAGACATCAACAGCTCAGAGGGAGAAGCCCTACAACTTCTACTTCAGATTTGTAAAACAAAATATTAGCAACTTTAAAATAGTTGCATTTTCTTCAAAACTTGAAAACAAATGTCTTGGCTTTGGCTTGTTTGATATAAATAGCTTTAGATCATCTTGTTTTAGTGGTCCTGCATGGTGTCCCAAAACTTGCACTTGATGGCAAGAATAAACATCAATTAAACTTCAAAGGCTGCCAAAGACTCTAGTTATTTTGATTTAGGGAAATAATTTAAATTAATCCCTATGTTTGTGTAGAAAATATGTAATGTAATCCATTTATCTGTCCCCAGCTTGAAGTCACTTACTATTGGGAAAAAAATCTGCTTTACTAATGTTTCCTGTCTTGAAAGAAAAACAGGAAAAAAACCCATTTCATATCCTTTTAAAGAATCCTGGCATAGTGACATTGGGAAACAAATATTATAATACACAACTGTGTGCTTATATCTCTGCATAACTGCTATTAAAAGTAACACACAAAACAGAGTTCTCCAGTGGGAGCAGTAAACCCAGATTTTATATAGATACATATACATCCAGATTTTATACACACACATACATATAGATATATATTAGCAAAAAAGCCAACTACTTCCTTGAATGGCTTCCTGCCTTAGCACCCCAACTCAGCTGAATGCTGTTGTGGTCCAGAAAACTCGCTGTCAGCCTCGTAACACTTTTCTCTTTATGCTGAGCCCCTCTCAAAACTAAGCAGAAATTTTAATAGGATGAAGAGCTTTGATTTTTACTTCAAAATTAATCCACTTCTCAGCTGAAGGAGGTATGTGGAGCACACTGACAGAGGCACTGAGGAAAAAAATGAAAGGAGTCAGAACCTCAACTATTGTAAATCACCTTAATGCCACTGAAGCCAATAGGACTACGTCAATTTAGACTAGCTGAGGTTGTGGCCTAATATTTGTGCTGAAATGTTGAGGCTATAGCAATATCCCTGCTGCATAAATATTTGTTGAAAGCTGCCTGTTAGTGTGCCTGGGGTAGGTTGCTCGTCAGCAAGCAGTTTGGACTCTTGTCTTTTACCTTTCTCAAGGAAACCCATGCTTGAGGATAGGACTTTAGCCTGAGCAAAGAGTACAGATCTGATCCTTCTGACTTTGTACAGTGATTACACTGCATACAGTGAAACAGTAAGTTTCATCTGCACTTTTGAAGCTGTACCAGTCTGACTGTCCTACACTGATTCATATAAAGTACTGCACATGAATGACCAGTAGTGTTTACAAAATGAATTAGTTTGACTCCAACTCTCTAGCCAGAAAGTAATCAAAATGAAGAGCCAGGCTATTTCTGAAATTCCAGCTTCCTCACTAGAAACTGCATGCTCTGTCTTACTAATCAGCATATTAGTGTAAAATGTACGTGTTCTGTACAGGAGGACAATTAATAACAGCAGTGACTCTGAGCTGTGTGCACATTAACCATTCCACCCCCACACTGCTCTTGTGTGGTGGGCAAATCCAGTTGCAGCATATGGTATGGAGAAAAACTACAAAATGTCTACCAGTAAGTGATTAATCCACAAATTGTGTAGCTGTTGTTTTGTGTTTGTTTGGTTTTTTTTTTTTCCCCATATAATAAGTTCCTGGTAACATTTAATTTCACTTCTTTCAAAGCCTATACATCTATTCATGGACATACACTCAGGAGTCTTCCTATGCAAATATTTTTACTATGCTTATTCATAATTGGTAATTGGCCCTTCTTCATAAAATCTTGAAAGCTCTGGTTTATTTTCTCATCATCCATCTTAGTTTAAGAATTCAGCAACATCAGAACTACCTTCAGAATTATCCTATAAAACCCATCAGCTTTTGTTAGATCTAACATAAAAATGATTATGAAATAATGTTATTTAACCATTTGCTTTAGGATTATCTGAAACTCAAAAGGGTTCAGTGAACTTTCTCTCAGAAAAGCAGCCTCCTAATCTGAAAAGCACCACTTCATATAAAGCCGGAGATGCCTCAGAGCCAGATTGTTTGCTCCTGTAAATGGTTAGAGCTCCACAGAGGGAGAATATGAAATAAAGCTCTGTTGATTTTCCAGCAGAGCATCTGAACCACTTCCCCCGCCCCAGTCAGTTAGAGCAAAATTAAAAGAAAAATAAACCTGGATTTGCATGTGAGCTCTTCATTTGGTGTAGATTAGCACATCTCCACTGGATATCTGACCTAAGTAGAATTATAACGGACTTACCAACAAGAAGAGCTGGGCCAGGGTATTTTAAAGGTGATTTCATATGTGTGAGTGGAAACCTGATTCCTCCCTCTTATTCAGACTGAAAACAAGAAATGTACAACAGAGCTATAGATCAGTTGTGAAATTGATTTATTTTTTTCTTTTCTTCATGAAAGGAGGCTAAAGAGGCTCAGTTTTTTCAAAATTACCAACCTCTGGTGCAGTGGTGGTGCAGCCAAACACCTCCCCATCAACATCAGCACTGCATCCAGCCTGTCAGCTTTTATTTCCAGGCTAAACATGAGGAGTAGTGAAAATGAATAACTCCATCTGAACAAAACAGTGTGGCAGGATACTTTTAACATTATCTAAATACGAGATGTTAATAAATAGTTAAATTCAGATGCAGCTTTTCTTATTAGTTTAAACATAAGTCAATATTTTTGCATTTTGTCGTCTCAGGGTTTCTACAGGAGCACAGAGAATTTCATCAATGATCTTTCCACGCTCTATAGCTTTATGCCTTTGTACTATTATCCATCTGTATGCTTATCTACTGTGTATCTATCAGCTGTATGAAAATAACTATCAGTCACTTCACCCCAGAGCAAGTATCAATAGGGAGAATGACAGTGGCTAGTTTGCACACTTGAAATGGTTTATTTGTTGCAATCCTGCACAAGATGTTTATCAGTAAGCACCAGACAGCCATGCAGAAGAAGGAGCCTTAATTCTGTCTGAGACAGCCTCTTATTGCTATTGATAGTTAGCATCAGTGTCCAGTCTGAGAAATGGAAGTGCTGCAGGCAACTTCAGTCAAGACACCCTATTGATTTACTGCTTCCTTTGCCTCCCTGAAGCTAGAGAAGAAAAATAAAATGGGGAGGAAAAGCTTGCTGTACAAGGGGCAATGCAGTGCTCTATGGCTTACCATCATTCAAAAGGGGTGTGTACATGCATGGATATTCCTGATATTCAATGCCTCAGACAACTGTAAATCACACACACTGATGTGATAAATATAAATGTCAATGTGTTGGAAATGTCCTTTATATAAGAGGTGTCACTAGAACTACATTTTTAGCATGAAACATTTTTTGCTGCTTTTTATTTTTCACTGACTTATTGTGCTTCCGTTATATCCTGTCTAACACAATCAATCTAAAGCATAATATCTGAGAGTCCTATTCATAAATAATACATATTTGGGTCATTTTCATTTGTATTCTACAATGAAGATTTACAAGCCAGAAACAAAACAAGAAACAATGTGTGGAATGCTCTTATTCAGTAGATAAGAATATATTACTGTGATCAATTAATCTGCTTTCCTCCACATTAGGTGGACATCTTTATGGTACATCCATAAGGGTTTATAACTTAGAAGAGACAGAACCAGCTCTGAGGCTCTAACATAAAATGCCTGTACTCAGAGAAGAGAAACTTTTCCAAAGTTTTTTTTTCCAATGGGAAATGTGTTAATTTTGGCAAACTCAATCATAGCAATACCCCATCTATCAACATACTGTGTCACTTTGCCCTATATACTTGTCATGCTAAATGAAACAAAAAATTGACTCCATTACACCGCAGGTAAAAGTCAAAATAATAATTCCAGGGATTTTTCTAGTGCTGTTCATCCAAGCATATTTACATTCCACTTACAAACCATGTAAATTCATTTTACAGCAGGGCAAACTGACACATAGAAAAGTCCCAGCTTTCTGGTTTTGGTTTGTTTGTTGTGGGTTGTTTTTTTTTTTTTTTTTTTTTTTTTTTTTTTTTTTTTTTTTTTTTTTTTTTTTTTTGTTTGTTTTTTTTGTTTCGTTTTGTTTTTGGCCAAAAGCTAGCACACTAAAATGTGTTAAAAAAAAAAAAAAACAATCAACAAAACAGAAAAACAAAACAAAAAAAACTCTGTATGAATATAAATCACAAGATCAAAGCACAACAAGAAAGATGAAAGGAAAACTCACATAAGCATGGTGGTATACCAATATTTCATGTAAGAAGATAGTCAGCTGTGTAGTTGCCAGTAGAGCTGGTATGCTGATGATGGGCCATGTCAGAGGAGCAGCAGCAAAAGCCCAAAGATTTATAAAATTCTGCCTGTAAAGAAAAAAAAAAAAGTCAATGTTACTTTAGGAAGGAAAGTCAGAACATGTAAGAATATTCTGGGCAACAAACTGGCGAGGAAAAGCCTGGAGCAAGGACAAAGTAGTCCACTGGGGCAGCTCCCCTCTTTGCCCCAAGCACTGAGAGATGCAGGCTGTGCTGTCCTCAGTGCTTTGGACTGTGGGTTACTGTATTCCTTTTTCAGCCCTGGAAATTTACTACAAGTGTATCTCAGATAAAAAAGTGAAATGAGTTTTGCAACTATGACAAAAAAGCAATTTTACATTTCATAGGCCTTTTAAACCCCCTTTCAATAGAAAATAAAAATAACAGTAAGGGGGAAAAGAAAAAAAAAAAAAAGGTTACATTTCAATTCCCCTTTTTATAGTTTGATGGTGCAGATGTTCCTGGGTCAGAGGTGAATATGTCTTCAGGTGTCAAAAGATGCAATAACCAAAGTCAAAAGTGGTCCAATCCCCAGAACTGTAACCGTGTGCCAGAATCTCCCCACCTTGGAAGCTTGCTGGCAGCAATGTGCTCCAGGTGCGTTGTGCTGAACAGACCTGGTAGTCGTTTTAATATTTTCCATGCTCATGTAAATAGACTTGATGTGTGTTCATCAAATGTGGGAAAATCCCACAGAATTTTGTACCATCTGCTGATAGGTAAAAGGCCTGCTTTGCTGACAATTTAGTGCAACATCAGAAAATAGAATAAAAGCAAGCAAGCAGTGGGGTTTGTTCTGCTATATTTTTATAAATCTGAGGCTTAAGGTCATATCAAAAACCTAACAAAGTTCAAAGGTTCATTCTGTTTCAACAGCACAGTCCTTTTCAGATATATGAATATTACCTGAGCCTCATGCCGCTCTTAAATCTGCACCACGTGGCTACCACCTGGCAGCCTTGTGAAACCCCGAGCACACACAGGAGTAAATGACTTCAGCAGGACACGGGAGGGTGCAAGGACCACATTTGGGCAGTTGGATACCTGCACTGATGCCCCGGACCAGAAGCCTCAGTGAAATACCAGCTGACAGCATTTCAACACTTCTGGTTGGCTGAAGTGAGAAACCCAAGCTGAAGCAAAACCTAAGAGGGTCACTGAGAAAAAACATCACCTTATTTAACACCTAGCACCAAGTTTGGGTTGTTTTTTGTTTGTTTGTTTGTTTTGTTATTTTCTTTTTGTATGTTTGTCTATTACAGCTGTTTAATGCAATTAAGATGACGGATGCCACTCAGAGTGTCCATCTTAATTGTTTTTGTCTGTTCAAATAAGACTGTTGTACAAAAGGCAGTTCCGTCTGACATCTTAGAAGCAGCTATGAAGTTAAAAGAAAGGCTCTGGTCATGCTTTTCAGCATTGGTTGATAGACACCAACCAGTTTTATAAGATGAATTTAAGACCTCTCCTGTCCTTATATTCCATGAGGAACAAGAACTTACACTTCCATACAGATAACTGATAACCAGATCCAGGAAATAACACCATCAGAAAATAATGTCACAGACTTTTTCAAAAGAATATTTTCCTTATGTTGCAGCAGGGCATGAGATCTTGTCTTGGGTGAGAGAAGAGTTAAAAAAAGCTGGCAGAGGAGGAAAACATCAGAAGAAAACAAACTGACAAAGCTAATCAAATCCAGACATATGTAATCTAAAATCTCAAAGGGGATTCAAGGTAAGCTAAAAGGACACTATAGGATCAAATGGTGCTAAAGCATCCAATACAACCCGATGAGAAGACAGAACAAAATCTCTGTAGAGACATGCACCAGATGCTCGGCAGGATGGGCCAGTGTATATCCACTGAGACAGACTCTACTACTTTACACTGGCTTAACCCTGCCCCTAATGGACTAGAAAAGGTATTTTAACCTTGCCACCAGCATTGTACTGGGTTATAAAAGCTGAGAAAAAGATTTTGATTGTGCCTATGGTTAGTTAATTGGGAAAACAACCAACTTCTTACCCCATTTGCCAAAAGAGACAACTTTTATATGTTTCAGTCAGAAAAGTGTAACTCCTCCAGTGGTGTAGCTGAGAAATTTACTCTGAAAATCAGGAATCTTATTTCCAAGGTCAATCTGAGGTTTCCTGGGTTCAAACTAAAATATTTTGTGGGGCCAAAGAAATATTTACTGGGTTCTAGGGAGCAGAGAATGGATGTGTAGTTTGAACATATTTCAAGTCAGCCTGGGAGGTCTCTTTGTTTTCATATCTGTCTCCTCAAGCAACCTTTTTTTTTTCCCCCCTGAAAAATCGGAAGTTAAGACAATGATGACATTTTTTTTTGCCTGTACATTTCAACACACTTCCTGCATTGAATCAGGGAACCTTAATTATTGGCACTTTTTTCCAGAACGTATTTCTTTCCAGCACATCATATGAAATGATAGAGTCAAATTCTGCCCAAGGGCTGCCATTCTTTCTGTGCTAAACTAGAAGGACTTTTTGTATTAGGCAATGTTTTGTTTTATATGACCTTTGACAGTAGAAGTGTTGGAAGAATGACATTATATGTTGTAGGGATAGTGCTTTGTGGAGGTTGATAGGCAGTTGTAAATTAAGTGGCAACATATTACAAATGAGTTCCAGAATGAGTAGGCGATTGGAAGATGTGCCACTGCATGCTGGAGATTAACATCCAAACAGAGAAACTATCACCTAGCCCAGCAATTGCAGTAAAAGGTTAAAAGAAATATTCAATATTATCAATCATATTAAAAAAAGGAAAGAACTTCTTACAGCTGCCAAAGTAGCTCGGGGGAATTAATGTGTTTGTGTCAAAAAGACTGAGAACAAGTGAAATAGGACTACGCTGATTGCCAGAATCTTACTTGCCTGGAGAGATAACATTGGACATCCAGTTTAACTAGGCAGGTGCCAAGAATCCTCTTATGAATGCTATGGAGCTGTTTTCAAACACGACAACGGCCAATGACTTCCATCCTCCAGTCTCTGTGGTTTCTGAGTTGCTCATTAAAGCAGGGAAGCCTCCAGTGAGGTGTGATGACCTGAAAATAGACAGGAGCTAAAGAATCAATGTTTTAAGTAAAACAGCAATTATAAAAAGATCTACAGCTCTTTCCATGTAATCAGGTAAATTACCAGGAGTAGCATAAAGCACCTAAATTGGAGAAAGAGTGGAGAAAGGGGGAGTTGGGGGGAAAAGAAGGTCCCTTGGGTGATATCTGATAGGATGCTTACTCTGTGTAGAGGTCAAGAGGTTAAGTGAAAATGAGATGAAGGAATGATCAGATATAGTCAGATCAGAGACAGTTAAATAAGGGAACGTGCTAACCTAAGATAAATGTGAGGAAGTACGCCTGTGTGAGGGCATTGGTGTAGCTGCTCTTCAGCAGCACAGGAATCAGACAGAAAGGATTCCTGGCTTCCAATCCACACCAGTCCCAGCAGAAGTTCTTCCTAGTAAAGAAGTAGAAGGGAGTTTAAGACTCTTCTTTGCTGCTCCAAAGGATACTAAAGTGCTTCTAATCACATCTACACGTTTTTCAGGTCTTTTTCTGTTGCTGATGGGGTGTAAATCAACCTTAGTGAAGAGAAAGAAAATGAGGCCTGTGCCATCTGTGGTTTGGACAATGAGAAAGATGCTGTTTAAACAAGATGAAAACAGAAACATTGAAAAGTACGTGAAAACTGCAAACTTTGTTGGCTAGCTAAGGTTTTCATGGGTCACATGGCTCTCGTTACAATGGGTTACCATAACAACAAACAGCATTTGGTTGAAAGAGGTGCATAATGTAGCAAATAAATGCTTGGGACACAGTCTGTATAAAACTTCATCAAATATTCTCGTAAATCTCTGTTCTCAGCCTACTCAACAGAAATGGCCTGTAATGACAGTCAACAGCAGAAAGCTCAGGAAACATTCATACTGAGCAAGTCTGGAAATGACCACAAGAATTCTGTTCAAAAATCTTTGGTAGCTTACAGCCTCCAAATGCTTTTAAGAATAGCCTTACATGTGTAAACTCTGAGATGAATGTTCAGTTTTTTCAGACAAATAATTTAGAGGTTAGTACCTTTTGTGTTTCCACAGAAGCCTGATTAACATAAGCAATTGGACCTGGCAATTAGCAGTTGGAGCTTTAACTTGTCTATTACATGTTAATATCTGGGGAATGCCCAAAGTGGTTTTCTGAAAATAAACAAAGAAACAAACAAATTTTGGTGTTCCCAATAATTATAGTCTTACAATTCTCTAGGGGAGAAATCGTGTTTTTCACAGAGTTTGATTAGTCTCAGAATTCATTAAATCTAACAGAGTTCCCTATCTTTAAGACTAACACACATCCCACATATATTTATGTCAACCCTCAAGCTACGGTGAAAGAAGCGTGAGTCTATAAATGAGGAGTTTCAAATGAAAGAGGTAGTTGAAGCATTTTGACCCTATTCAATCAAGGTCAGTTTTCCTCTGAATTATACCTGTTTCCTTGTCTAGCATTTTAGATACCTTCCAAGAGTCTAGTGACAGAGTTTATAAGTGGCATTCAACAATAAAGAAGAAAGAAAGCTGCTCACAAAACTCCTTTCCCCATGTGATAAAAAGCAGCGCTCCAAAGGAAGAGACAAAAGAATGTGTAGGTCCCAGTTGTACGTGCCTATGGGAAAGGCATGGTGAAAAGAGGCCAGCAGCTCCAGGAAAGAGGGACAGGAGGAGAGAGCACAAATCAGCTTTATGAGCCAGCAAATGATGGATGGCTAAATGCCAATTAAATGCAATACATACAATTGAGTTTGCATTGTAGAGATTATTAAAGGTTATTTTACTCTTAATTTTTTGTGGTAGGTGTTCTTACTCCCTCCTCACAGAAACCCTTGATTTTAACTTGCTAGATACTTCGATGCACTTGTCATACCCAAAAGGTGATTTCAGCTCTTGGATGCCAAAAACCTTTCTGCTGATCAAAACACAGCTGTAAGGGCTTGCCTGATCTATTAATGGCTGCCACAACTCTGGGCTATGTCTGTCTATACCTGTGAAAATAGATATAATTAATATAACAGATATCATATGTATATGCAAATCCAGATGGTAAAAATGACTTAGAGTAAGATAAGGTTTTCATTTGCCAAATCAAATCTGTGATTCTGTGATATGTGAATCACTTAAACAGACGCAATCTGCTACTGGAGTGCTGCCTCTGCAGTGACATTAGCACAGCCTTGATCTATTTTACTTTATATTAAGCTTGTTTTTTAATGAAAGATCTTAAAACTCAATTTTAAAAACCTACTTTAATTAGCTTTTTTTCCAAGCTATCACCTCTCTGTGGCCTTTAAAAAGCTCTTTCCATTATTTCCCACAAGTTGCTTGGACATATGATGACAGATCATGGGACCACATAAATTGCTACTCAGTGTACAAGGATCCTAGGTTTTAAAACAGTGAATGAGCAAATTTATATCCATTTTATATAAAATACTTTCTGTGTAAGACAAGAAACAGAATATTTTCTTATAGATAACCTTTTTACCCATTACAGAAGTACATCAGCTTTACTAACAAATAACAGAAAGAGGAAATATCTTCAGTCTGTTTTGTGATATTAATATATTCTGCATTACAATTTTATCTTCTTTACTTTTACATTTATTTCACCTTTAATGAGTCCAAATGCCTAGCCAAGAGCTCTTGACTTTAAGGATATACTGAACATCAGTATATTAACTGTCACATTCAAGCTAACAGGCTTAACTTAGATGCTTAAAGTTACACATCTGTTAGAGATCTTTGTCAAACAAGACCCAAACCCCTTGATTTTAAAAAATTGACAGAAATGGAAATTTTCACTTTAGTGACATCAGAAAGATGATAATGCTGCTTCATCACTATCATGCAAACATTGAGATTATGGTTTTGCTCTCAACATTTTCAGTTGTGATAAGTCCTTTCACTTGTAATAAAATATACTGAACAAAAAGTAGCTTAAAAGAGATTTTGAAGTTTTGTTTTGCAATAATTGGTCCATTTTGAATCCCTTGTTTTATTTCTTTTCATACTGTGAGGGCAAAGAATTATTGTAGCTTTCATCAAGAGCTCAAGAAGAACATTTTGGAAGACCAAGATTAAGTGCATGCAGATGGGTGTAACATTAATTTTTCTTTAGGATAAAACTAACTGTAAGCAAAGTAACACAAAAAAAAGGGTGGTGGATTTTTTTTTGTTTTGTTTTATTTTTTTTCCATAACCTTGGGTAATTCCAAGGTTCCTCTTAGGAATCTAGATTGAACAATAGTTTATTTCACTGCTTATGATATTTCTGACTTCTAGACACTTTTCTTGTGAAACTGGGAGACTGTGTATGTTTGCTTTCTTGTTTGCATGTATGAGGAAGGGAGAGAAAAAAAAAGTAAATTCTTTTAAGAGTGAATGCCACAGGAGATAATTCCATCTGCCTGCCTGATGTAGCATTCTCAACTACATTTCTCAGTTTCTCTTGATTAATAATGCAGCTCTTCTCAGTTATATGCACAGTTTAAGTGCCAAACAGATGCCACACAAATAACGATTACAAACAATTGCTGTGAGGGAGTGAACAAATAATGTCAGTTAGTTGATGTGATGAAGTTTACATGACAATAATCCTCAGTTTTATAAAGTTGTTCATTTTTAAGCCTCTCTGCTATCTTTTTAAGGTAACAATGTCACTTGACCACCTCACTAAAGATCTCAATTGTAATAGAGCAGATATACTTTTGGGTACTTATGAATTAATTACATTGCTTATTTCCTGAGGAAATCCGAAAAGAATTGTCAGCTACACTTTTAAAGTACACTTTAAAACTACACAATTTAAAACTACTTCTTAAAGTACCTGTAAAAGTTTAGTGATAGGACAGGGAATAAACTTAGGGACACTGAAACAAAAAAGGGTAGACTTAGATTACATACAAGGGAGAAATTCTTTACTCATAGGGTGGTGAGGCATTGGAACAGGCTGCCCAGGGAAGCTGTAGATGCCTCACCCCTGGAGGCATTCAAGGCCAGGTTGGATGGGACTTTGGGAAAAATGGCCTTGCAAAAAAAAAAAAAAGTCACTGCCTATGGCACAGGGTTGAAATGGAAGAGCTTTTAAGGTCACTTCCAATCCAAACCATTCTATGATTCTATGAATCAAAGTGTTGTTGTGCACATGTACTTTGTTACATATTGTCAAACCAAACTCTGGTTCAGGAACAGTACTTTGGCCTGTTGTTAACTCCAGGCTTATCAAACCACTGTCTCATCAAATGACATGATTAAATAAAGCTCAATTAATGTTCAGGATAGAAATGCTCGACTGACCTGAGAGTTAAACTGAGGCATGCTCTTGTTTCATTACATATGACAGAGCTACTTGATGAAGGAATATGTAGGTGAAAATAGGTCTGCATGACACTAAAATATTTGGTGTCAGAATAGCACTTCTGAACTTGAATATCTACTAACTCAATTCTTAATGCTTCAACATTAATTTGTTCTTCTCAGGACTGTCATGGATATTACTGCAATACTGAACAGTAGAAAACTGTTATGATTTGATAAAAAATTACGTGTTTAAAATCTTAATCATATTACAACAGTGACACTGACAGCTTTGAAGACCTCTTGTGCTTCTTTCTCTTTCCTTGCTAAGATCAACAGGTTAGCCAACTAACCACTGGTTTTGCATTTTGTCTGTGATTTTGTCCCCTTTGCACCACATCTTGATTGTAGAGAGAAAGAAAATTCATGAATCATACAGCAGATCATCAGAAAATCTTATAGTTTCACAGAAGCAAAATCCACAGGTCCATAGAAATAAACATCAGCTCTCAACAAACTTATGACAATACACGTTTACTTGCACAATAGTCTATCAGAATTGGCAGTTGCTCTTTATCCAGTCTAGAATAAAATTCAGTATAAAATCTTGGTTTACCCCCCTACTTACTGCTGTGCTTTCCATTCTGCCAGCTAGGCTGTGAAAATGAAAACCCCTTGCCTGCAGACAGGGAGAAGAAGAAGCTGGAGGCAGGAATGATCCAGAAGTCTTTTTCCAGACCTCATGAGCAGTGCTTCCACTGTCAGATCTTCAGTGAGAGAGATCAGTGCTTTGTTAAATTACAGACATAAAACAGGAAAAGGACTTGGGAAGTCACAAGTCAAAAGGATGAGAACTGCTTTTGTAAAACTTTTCAGTGGGTCACCAAACACAACTACCAAGTGATCAGAGTTCTTTATAGGATACTAGCTGACCATTTAATATGCACATGCATTTAATATTTCTTGTAACCCTTGAATTATATTCTCAAAGCACACCCTTATCAGCTATTAGCACACTGGTCAGAGTTGGAGGTCTGGCTGTAAAAAAAGTGCTTTCACAGTGTTGTAAGGTTGTTACTCCTGCCTGATGTTTCTCTAACGGGCAGTTTGGTGCCACTGCTAAAGCTTACAACTTTCTCATTTTCTTGCATAGTGTCTTTGCTAATTTTTAAGCAATAATTGTATCACTGCTGATGTCAGTCACTATCATCAGGAAAACAGAGGAGGAGTGTAAACAGACTTAAAATGCCCAGATGAAATAACAGCAATGCAAGCGCTCTGATCAGTCTTTGGAAGAAGGCTACAGTAGTACAGAAATGAAGAGGGTGTTACAGCTCCCTGCAATTTGGTGGCTCAGTGGAGTTACACAATATCTATGCTGTTTTGGAGTACTAAAAAATGAATCAGATTGGTAATTTGTGGTGAAATAGCGAGCATTAGGTCAGAGAACAGAATCCTCTTTGCACTTCGGAAAGTCAAAAACGTCCCCAGTTGTTACATACAGTACAAAATACTGTTTTGTATTGTTTTAAGATTTTGTTTTGTTTTGTTTTCAGACTCAAATTTCAAAATATTGGACAAGTACTGAAATCTGCTTGTAAAAATCCCCAAGTCACAAGCCAGCCAGATAAAAATCTGTTCACTGCAAAAAGGGAAGGGGGCAGGGTGGGGAAAGAAAAGTTTGTTGATAAGTTTGCTACACTATTAAAACACTTAACCACAGCCTGGAGCTCAAGCTGACATTTATCTTAAGTTCCTATTTATTATAATATATGAAAAGTATTCAGCAAAATTACATCTTGTTTTTGAAGGTTATGCAGTCCAGTATTTAAGGTGTAAGGTTTGACCATTTATTTAGGAATGCAGAAATGTGAGCAGATTGAACAAGTACTTGTCCAAAGAGAAAATAAAAGCAGTTTGAAACAATGCTCAGTCCCATTTAAAGTTTCTTGAGGAAATGATCATATTCCAGCTAAGCAAAAGAAAACGGCCTCCAGAGAAATCACAAAGACAATTAGCAAGACAAATCCAGGACTGCTTTGTCTTGTCTAAATCTATATAAAGAAAAATGGTCTGCAACTCACTCCGAAAGTGATGGGAACCCATGCTTCAAACACATGTCTTGAAACAATGTCGGAAATCTTGTTCCTCTTTTGGCTGCGGTTACAGATGCTTTCTCCAGACAGCGGGCTCACTAGTTTCAATTGTCTGGAGTACTCAAAAATACATTTTCCCCGGAAGATCTGCATATATAATAAACATTAACTAAATCAAATGACTTTCATTTCAGGATAAATACTTTCAAGAAGTCAGTTAGAGACACTTATAGTAAATTGCTATTAATTGGTTTTTCCAATCTACTTAGGTTGTACTAATGAACACAATCACTTCTAACATATTTATACGTTGAATAAACCCTGCTTTTCCCTGTAAGCATGCAGAGGGTCCAAGATAAAATGTTCTGCTGCAAGAACACATGGGAACCGCTTTGGGACAAGTAAAGGATCCTACTGGTTTTCTGTGTCTCTGAACTCTGTTAATTCAGAAGGAACCAGGAGAACCTCTCTGCTCTCACTGCTGGATAGCTGCCCTGAGTGGGGCCAATTTCGTAGCTTTTTCGCCACAGAATATGTAAGTTACATAACACAGAAACTCTCAGCTCTGCAAAGCCAATGAAACCACATTTTCCTATAACTGCTACTTCCCCCTTTTGCACTTTACTCACTTGTAAGGGCTTGCTGTAAATTCAATGATAGTATCTCTACAGATGGGAACTTTTTCTTTTGCATGTGAACATTACCCAACACCGAAACGTCTCCAGCCCTGGTGGTACATCTCAGGGCATTATTAGGACAGCAGTCATGCTCATACTGCTCAGCTCCTCTGTGGTAAGCCCAGATATGGAGCTAAAGTAAGAATTAGAATTCTGTCTGCACCATAGCCTGAAAACAATCACGCTAACTTCAGCAGTTTGAAGTCGGTTACTGGAAAAGCCCTAGATACAGCAAAGCAAAGCTCCTGGTTATTTCCTTCATTAAGTTCTAAACAGAACTGAAATATAACCCAGTTGTCTCTAGAAAATTTCTGCTCTCTTCAGCGTTATTTTTCATAACAACTCTGGGTGTGCCTAAAGAAGCACAGCAGCAGGCTATAGGACCAAGGTCTATCTGAGAAACCTGCATGCATCACAGAAAGCACATGATTCCACAACTCATTAAGTCTAATTTATGGCATATGTAATTAGGCACCTTTGAATTGAACCCAGGTCTCTAGAGATAATAACACTTAGAACTTATATAGGGCTTTTCATCTTCAAAGTGCTTTACAAACATTAACTAATTAACAACATAATAAGACATGAAAGGCCAATGTACTTACCCCTAGTGCTGCATAGCCTCTGTATAATTCAGATTTTAATGATTTTAAATGCAAGATGCAATCTGGGTGTGCTGGGAGGATTTACTTGTTGTCCTCTTCCCAATCAGAAAACATGACTTCCATACCAAATATCTGAATATGCAGTGATATCTGAATATCTGCTATTTATTGCTGAATCAGAAGATGCAGCTCCAAAAATTGAAGGAAGATAAGGAAATGAGCACCTCAGAGCAGTTTGTGAGGGTGTTTGAATTTCCTGGGCTTTGGAGATACAGTACGGGGACCTAAAGCAGGAATATATTCCCTGAGAAGTTACTGCACAAGATTTCTGGTATCACCAAACTCCATATCCTTCCCAGGGTAAATCTAGAAATAGTTACACAAAGACTGTAGGGACTGGCTGTCTAGGGACTATTTGGCCTTTTTTTTTTTTTTTTTAATCCTATGTCAGTGATCATTTTCATAAGCTCAGGATGTTGACCATTGCCTGTGTATGTGCTTTGTTTAAACATCATCCATCCAAGAGCTAAAAAGACAGTGCATATCATGGCAGAATTTCCTGTCTCTCTCCAGACCATGTCTGCCTCTGTCCCCTTGGGGATTCTACTGTGAACAAAAATTGAGAATTTGAGGATCAGTGGAAAAATATACCAAGCACGTGAGATAGAACTGTATATGTGTCCCTCCCGAACCCTGCACATACGAATCCTCAGAAACAAACCCAAATTCTTCTGCAGTGGTGACACAGGTGGAGTGGAAAGAGAAATTAAAGAAAATGAGACATCCAAAGGACCAGCAAACAATTTGTATATGGAAACAGCAGGCTTTTGCTTTTCCCCACAGACAAGCAGTCCAGAACAGACCCTGAAAGGTAACAGTCTCACAATAGTAATGCCTACAAGAGAAACTACCATAAACATAGGGTCTAATTAAAAGCATTACAATTTTTAAATGCAAATGTAGAATAGAACTGTCAAAATGTTTTATCCCTGAAGTGTGAATGCTAACCTTCCCATACTTATTATATAGCACTACATTTTAATTTGCCTGGAGCACAGCTGAATAAAGCAAGCATCACAAACACAATCAAATGGATATCTGAAAGTACTGCTCTTCACAATAGCTGTGTGTCTGAGCAGGGCTTCAAATGTTGATCAATTGATTACCAAAATCAAAGAATGCATTTCCCAAATGAGCTTCTGCAAAAGCACTCAATGGCACCAGGGAAAAAAAAGAGAGCATAAAGCTGCACAGAACAGCAGTGTTCTCTAAAATATTTACAAATGCAACTTTTTACTGCTTTCCTGTTTATAGCTTAGATGTGCACAGATCTAGAGTGAGGAATAAAACACTTCTGATAAATCAATGCCTTGATTCAGTTTAAGTGTGGCAAATTCAGGTAAACAAAGAAAAAAGTAAAAATGACCTAAAGGCATACATTAAATCTTATGGTAAATCACAGTCTCTCTGTTCAAATGACTTTTGAACCTTTAATAAAACTATGGTAAAATATATAATACATTCTCTAATGGCAAACCACATGTGAATACTCTTATTTCATAAGGGACAGTTCCCTATTTGTTTTCCTTAGAAATAAGACAGAACTATTTGTGCTTATCTGTCCCTTTGGAATTTTCTCTGCTCCCAGCTTGATCAGTAGGAGGGCTACTAGATAGTCCTAGTAAGGATGAATAAAGGTGAGGCACTTGGCTCGTTTCTGAGCTTATTTCAAACAGTTACTATTCGCTCAGCAGAGGCCTCTGTTGAGCTAACTACAATTCACGAGAGCACTCATGGGTATTCTCTAGCTCCTCCCAACACTGGCACAGCTGTTTTCTGGACTGACTAAACACCAGCTGTAACTATCAGTGTCCCATCCGTCTTCCACCTCTAGTGAGCTGGTTCCTGCTGCTGTCCTATGTATTTTTATTGTTTTATTTTTGATAAACGTCAGTGAACTACTGAGCATAACTGCCCACCAAATACATATGGTTTGCATTTAGCAAATTTAACCTGAAAAAATAGAATGAAAAATAGGAAAACTAATTTTCGAGCTGAAACGAACCTGCTATTTTCAGGAATTTCCATATATTTTATTCTTCGTTCTGGATGCAAGTTGCTCTCTTGTACCACTTCCTGCAGTAGCCTAATCTGCATGTTGTTCTGTGTCATTCTCACTGTGAAAAAAGCCATGCTGGGCTGCAGATTGGGTCATATGCTCCTCTGGAGAGCAAAATCCAGAGCTGTTTACACACAAGTATGCTCTCAGCAGCCTTACCTTTCATCATTCACCTCAATGAGAAGCATTTGTCTGAAGAACATGATGGGATTTTCACTCCACTGTGTTAATGCTGTCCTACTCTGGGAATTTTGAGAAAATTCCTTCAGGATCAAACCCATTTTGTTGACTAAAATGAAAAATTTGCTTAGAAAAAATATAGCAATTAAAAAGTTTCTACCTTCAAAGCATTCTGGCATTTGATTTTGTGGTTCTGACTCCATTTGGATGCAGACTTTATAGTGCTTTCCATAAGCCACTGCTTCATTAAAGAGGGAAAGAAAAACCAAGCAAAACAATCCCACACTAGAATTAATTCTTGAGAGTATCACACTGCCCAGAGAATTCTTCTGTTTCTGACACAAATACCTTTCTGCAGCATGCCTCCGTGCTGAAATCCTCCTGTGTGAGCAGAGAGTACTCCAGGATTTATTACATCTCGAGAGAAGAAATATTTAGCCTTATGACAAGTAAGCAGCTGACTCTCCACCTGTGCCTTTCATTTCCACTTTGGAAACACTGCATTACTGGAGGATGCTGACATGAGAAAAAAAAAAAAAAAAGAGAAAAAAACAGAAGTGGTAACTGGTTGGTATTGACAGGGGAGCCAGAAACACAGGAGACAACAGCTTACAGGGTAGGGGTGTTTTCATTCTTATATTTTTGCAGATAATTTCAGCTGAGCTGCACTGCTTTCAATTTCATTGAAACAAGATTTATTCCCTCCTGCATTACGGCAAGGCAATCTTACTGCAATCACACAGCACAGGAAGCTTCCCACTGTTTTGTATTTCCATGCCAAGGGAGATGTCACAATGTCTGTCCCTTGCTGGCATTTGCTGGTTTTTATCCCAATGCTTACCAGGAACACCCATTCCTTCAGCAGTGGCTGGGTGGGATAAGGAACTTTCTATTCTGTGCTGTCCTCCCTGAAGCACTTCACAAGAGAATGAGGGTGGTAGGGCCAGGAACATTTTTCTTCCTGTGCCATCACTCCCATACTGCATAGAGACCTTCCTCTCCTTTTGATCCTGTGCTACTGTATTTTATCAATCTTCTGTATCTCAGTTTCTAAGAGAATCACAGCTCACTTAGTATTTGGAGGCACCAGAATTTCTGCCCCTGGAACATTTTAGGTCTGCTAATCAAACAGTGATCCACAAGAATCTCGCAACAGGTGGTTATGGTATTGTTCATCTCACTTCAATTATGAAAAACTGAGGCAGAGGGACATTGCCTGGACTTTAAACTCAGTTTTCCTGTTCAACTTTTCAGTGTTTATTCATTTTCCAATGCTTTGCTTTTTGCTATAAAGTATTTGCATAACAAGTAGAACAAAGGCATCAAACAAGTCACTGAAAACAATTAAATGAAAGTCTCGGTATAGAAAATTGCATTTCTTCTCCAAGATGATCATCTTTCAGTACAATGAGGCAAGATGAGGTTCCTCCTGTGCTAGCAGATAGCTGTAACTGCATGCTTAGTGAAGTGCTAATATTGATCATACAAGATGGAACAGGTTACACAGGCAATTGGTCAGGCAAAGCAGTGATGGCAGCACATGGGATATTATGGATGGTTGATGTAGCTGAGGATATCTATCTTTCTGTCTATCTATCTATTTTTCGGGATGTCTATCATCATTGAACTTAGCTATTAAGGAACAATGGCAGCACTTAATCATCGATAGATTAATACTGCATATGTCATTACTTGGGGATTGGGTCAGATTTCCCTTGTTTGTACCTTTGCTGCTCTCTTTTTTCTTCTGCAGTTGTGAGACAGTAGCATTTTCTCACAGACTGTATGTGTTGTTTTGGGACTTGTGTCAGTGGCAACAGCACAGCTCTGTGTGTCTGCCAGAGCTTGTTCAATTGAGCTCCTTTCCAGGAAAATAAAACAGCCAACTGATGAGACCTGTTATAAAATTTCAGACCCAGCATCTTTTCACGATGTCTGGAATACTGTTTGAAAGCAGCAGCAGTGTGACCACTCTGTGCACCTGACTCTTCTGTTACAGTCAGAAATAGGTGAAGAGCAGTGAGAGATTTTCCCAAACAATACCTGCTGGAAAAGACACGGCTTCTATTGCTGTATTTTCTCAATACTTAGTATTCAGCAAAGTGCCTGCAACAGTGCAGAGCTGTGTGTTTGCTGGTATTTTTCTTGTTCAGAGCTTTTGAGAACCCTTTTCTGAAGCATATAATGCTGCCTTGAAATTGGTCTCTAAATCACATTTTGAGAAGCAGAAACACAAGCAATTGGCTGGGTATTTTTGTGCTGTGCCATGGCTTGCTCAAGTCAGAAGAGCACCCTATCTCCTACTTGAATCTCGATTCTTGTCAGTCTGTTTGTGATCATCAAAGTCCTCATCAACACAACAGTGTCTCTCCCCTTTTATTTCTATTTTTTTAAATTAATTTTTATTTTTTTATGTTACCAGTTATAAACTAGATTTCCTCCTTTCATTTCTACATTTTAGGCTCTTCCATGGTTTTATACTCTTAGGAGAATTAAGTTATTGTTACAGAGTTTTCCATTAAAACCAGTCTACCAAGGGCAGTGTTGGGAGTGATCTCTGTGCCTCCTGTTTTTATCTGAAGTGTTCCAAAAGGAGAGCTAGATAGTTTAAACTAAGCCATAGAGTAACTGCCTTGACATTTGGAGGTAAAATCTTTCCTGTTACTGTCAGTCTCTCAGAAGAGGGGATGGCATTTGGAATAATCCAAAACTCCTGCAGAGTTACATTACTGTGGCAGCCAGACCAGAGTAAACCTAGTCTGAAGATCTATTGGTTCAATTACTGCTTGGGGTCAGGACATGCCATAAATTATTAGATATGCAAATGCAAAAGTGACTGTTGATGAAAGGAAGATGGATGGATTTCTTAAATACTCATAATCACTGCTAAGACTGACTACAGATTGAGGTATAGTCACTTGCTTGTAAAAGGTTTCTATTTCATTCTTAGGTTTTACCTGTGTGCACATAAAGATATCATTTTATTTGTATGATATTTAAAAAATAAGCTTAGGAAGTCACGTGAAGGCCTGCTTTGAACTGATTCTGCAATATTCCATAATTTTTAGAAAAAGCTTCAGAGAAAAGTTTGGAAAATGCTAATTCTCATTCTGCTCTCACCACAGTGTAAATCTGAAACACTGCGCTGTATTGCATGAAGATACAGTGATAATGTTTTTGGGAGAAGAATCAATTCCTGTTCTGTGGAAGTAAGGTGGATGAAGAAAGCCACAAAACAAACTCAGGTTTGCAAATTTCTGCAGGGTGAATGAATACTGGTACATGATAAACATCACCTTACCACAACGTGATCTCTGTGGTACTGCAAGAGCAAGCCAAGAGATTTTTGTGGGTATAAAAATGAAAAGAAAATTTTACTTAGAAAAATAATGTAATACATTTGCTTTTGCTGCCCCTTAAATACATTATTTATGGTCCTATTTCTCAGTGCGATTAAAGCTGGAAGAATTTGACCCCTACCCCTGTCATGTGCAGTGTCTGCTACATCTATAAAAACTTGCTGAATTTCTCTTGTGGGTTATCTCTTCTGGGAGAGGAGGTTTTACTACATATAAGACAAAATGATTATAAGTGTGAGAATAGTGTGTGCTACTCAACGCCACCTGCTGCTGCAAGGGGAAATATATTCCCAGATGCACCTTGACTGAGCAGAAACAGATGAGAAAAGAAACCACAGGAAAGAAAACCTGTTCTAGTTGATAGTAAGTTTGCTTTGCAGAAATATATCACAAAGCACGAAGGAATATATTTTCCCAATACTGACACTAACATATTCCAAGCAGTCTATGAAAGCCAACAGTGTTTCTAAAAGATACATAATATTCTTCAACTGGATGGTAGTTTCTAAAGAGTTTTCTAATTGGTTTTCTAAACATGTTTGAAAACTACTACAGGATTTCTCAAAGCTTCCACTCACTTCCTAAATATAAATCTCTTGCCAAATGGTGTTGCTATTATTACTGTGACACACACATTCAGAAGTTTACATGGTTGGGGATGACAGTTAGATAGTAAACTGAGAGTTACTTGAGAATTCCCCAAGTAGAGTTCAGAGATTTGTTCGTATATTGCATTTTTCTATCAAAGAAAACATATTAGGAAATACATTAATTTGCCCAAGCTGTGGCTTATACAAAGGTAAAGTTGAGATGGAAAACAGACCAGGATTAGGGCATGGTTATTGAGCAACCAGTAGTTAGAGATCAGCTAGAGATGAGTTAGTATATTTTAAGGCTCCTTACTGTTATAACATCATCTATTTGCTCTTTTGTGAAAGCAATTGCTCTATGTGCTGGATATAAAATAAACAAATACAATGCATTCTCTATACACAAAGACACAACAGATCCTACAAAGGACAGGTACTTTTTGGAAACAACAGAAAATCTTAGGATTGGTGTACCTTTAGGCAATGGAAAAATCTAAAGCCTGAACCAAATGGAAGCAAGAAGAATCCAAAAGATCAGAAGGAGGCATGGTCAGAGCTCTGATGGCAGATTTCCAGTCACATCTCCAAGGTGACATCCCTACCTCAGGATGGGTGTACCTGCAAATCCTTGCTGACTGCCATCTGTAGGTTATTGTACTTGCAAGATTCCTATGGAAAAATAACACATCTATAGAGTAGTTACAACTGGTTAATATTTTAATTAGTCCTGAATGTTTCTTACTTGTCTGTGTGCAATGGCACAACGGGATAATTCTCTCAACTTCTGTCTCTTTATAGTACAGAGATTTGTTTTTTAGATTACATTCAGAAATGGGAATCTTTTACAGCTTATTCTACGTATGTTTTATCACCTGTCCCGTCTCCATTCAGTTTGCTTATAGCCAGTGACAAAATAATTATAATATATTGAATATACTAGCACTTATTTTCTTGCTTCTTCTTTTACAGCTTTCCTAGTAAGTTTGTAGTTAAGCCATTTTTATAGCTGTAAGGAACTGAAATGAATTCATATTTCTAGAACTTAAGCCACAAGTAACTATATTTTCAGCAGTTGAATTTTCATTAAAATTTACAAAAGATCTCTGCCTTCACTGATTTATTGTGGCATCAGGTAAAACTACACACAGTGTATAAAATACTGTGTTACTCCCCTTGTAGTTTGATCAAACACGTTATCAGTGATTGCAAGCACATTTTATAACCCTAGCTGCTGAATCGAAAAAAAGGTGATACAAGCATCAATCTCCAGGATAAAATCAGAGCACTTTCCACCACAGTTTGACCTTAGCGATGTCTTTGGATAGTCTTACTTGTCTAAGTCCTTGCAACAATTACCAAGGGATGGTTAGAAAATGCAGCTTTAATGGTGAGGGCTGGAATTACCAGCAGCATTGAAGTCAAACACTAACCCCAGAGATTTCCAAGCAGAGGAAGAATTTGAGGAAACTCTGATGGTACTGTAGGAATGAAGTGGAAGAGGGCTGCAGGCACCAGCCACAGATTTTATTTGTGTTCTTTATTGTCTGCATCCCTGAACTCTGCAGTG